GGTGAACAATGAAATGAGCTGAAGACTAAACTGTTCCCATGGAACCATGGCTGACTGTGACCTACACCCGTTTCCACACCTTGGCTCGTGTGATTAGGTAGGGGGTCCATTGCCCCTCTTGGGGGGGACACTCCCACAGGGCTTAAATCTGTGACTCTCCACAATTTGACCCTAGAACTGAAGAAGCTTCTCGGATGAGAGGTGAAACGTCTTCAAGCAACTTAAAGAAGTCCAGAGGCTTTTCTTTCCGAGCTCCGTAGACTACGATGACCTGGATGACTGAGGCTTCACAGACATGTTCCCATGGAAGTGACACATGGACAAACACACCTGCTATGAAATGACTGAAGTAACAGTAGTAATATTTGCATTTCAAATATTCGGATCACATGATTCAGACATTATTCCATCTTTAAGTCCTAAGTTTAGGTTACGATCAAATCATTCATTCATTTATTCAGTAGAAAGTAAATAAAATACTTTCAAACGCTGCATTACTACATATGCTTTACAGAAAAGTTCTAAACCTGTTTTAACATGATGTAATCAGCTGCAGTGTCAGAGCTATGTGTGCAGACACGGATAAAGCCTGCTTCTCTTTCTGGGTCACCTCTCATTCGTGATGATGACAGATGTGCCAGTGCAGTGTGGGGTCTCTCTGTGGCTCTCAGGAGATGAGCTGGAGCTGGGACTCTGGCTAGTACAGTTGTAAGACACCATCTCTTTACCTTGGTAACAATGGCCATCTGTTATATTGCTCAGTGAGGCAAAAGGGGAGGCCTTAATAGGACCAGGTTTGCCCAAGACTTGATGAAAGTTTAAAGACATATATGGAGCTCCTATACCTGTCAGCATTCTTGTGTCGTCTGCAGATCTGGACTGTGGCTCCGTGGCAGCTCCAAACTGCTGCTGGTCGTCAGCAGGTTGATGATATTCTGCAGCAATGTGACTGTAAGGGGTCTCCATCATACAGAGCATCTTCTTCTGCTCAAGCACTATCTGCACAGGGAGCGACTGGCCTATGCCATGCAACAAGCCACCATGCTCACCTTTACCAAGTACCAGGCTGCTGAGCACAGGGCAAGCCAGGGCCCTGTCACCTTTTGTATAATGTTGCATGTCCTGGTTTAAAGCTTTACTCCCCTTTGCAGCATGAGGCTGGGCATGTGGACAAACTTTGCTATGGACGAGTGTGTAATGTTCACAGAATTCGTCCTTTAGCCTGCTGTTTGAAAGAGGGTTCATTCCACTGGGACAATCATCCTGGTACCTACGGTCAGCTGCCAGTACAGGCCCTATTAAAGAGAAGACATGTTCAGAAGTTGGCTTGCACCTTAATTAAAATGACATGAGCACTCTGCTGAATGGCTCCTAAGGAGTTTACAGTGTTATTCATAAGATGTCAGACTGTCAGTGTTTTAATGAATCCACCTATGATGTTATTGACAAATGCATGTTTTCCTGAGCTTGCATTCACTACTGCAGACTAAGCTTTAGTTTAACATTCTTCCATTCTGAAAACAACATGAATTGTGTGGATATGAATATGGACTTGCAAGTTAAAGCTACAGCTTTCTGTTGTTGGTGCGAGTGGCAATGCCATTGAAAGCCTATCTGTAACACTGCAGAGATCAAGAGGACCGAATGCATTTCAGAACAGCATCAGCTTTACAAGCTGGCTAACCTGGAAAGCACAGAACAATTCAGAAAAACACCAGACTACAAAAAATGATTCTGTTGGCTTCAATATGGACTTCCTACTTGTGTTTGTGTAGTCTGGCATTTGTTCAGAACCAGAACTCCAGACCCTCAGTCCTCACTGGAACATTATATTTCAAACAGCTTGTGAAGCCCAACTCCTTTACCACTGCTTTCACCAGTTGCCTCTTCAGGAGAAACTTAACTGCTGTTTCCCTGTGTACAGATTGTTCTGCATAGAGCCAGCAAGCTATTTTGTGTTCTTGGGAGACCTGTTTGTGGGCACCTTTGCCATCAAGCTGCCTCTTCTAAGCCTGGACATGAAGGAAAAATACATACTTCTAGCTGCTGGGCTCACTCACCCGTCTTCCTGACCTCACAACGCAGGCTTTTTCTTTTTGGAAAAAAAAGATATGAATGACAAAATTCATCAACCACTGGGAGGTGGCACGAGCATTCTTTATCCCAAACGGTAGCACTTTAAACTGGTATAAGATATCATAAGCCACAAATGCTGACATCTCATAAACACGTTCTGTCAGTGGTACCTAACAGTACCCTTTCAAAAGATCAACCTTACGTACTTATCCCTACCCACTTGGTCAATGCAGTCTTCCAGCCGAAGTATGGGGAAAGCATCTGAATTCGTGACATGACTGACCTTCCTAAAATTCACCTTCCAAAAATGATCTGATCATCTGCTGGTTATTAATATCTTGTTAAATGGCATGAGTCACTGTGAATTAGTCACCACCAGCAGTGTGTGTGTGTGTGTGTGTGTGTGTGTGTGTGTGTGTCTGAGCATTTTAGTTCATGTTATTTGTTCAGTTAAATGTTTGCATGCTCTCTGTCTTTTGTTCATCTGTTCTGTGACAGAGGGGAGGTCAGATGAATTTGTGTAAATATCCCTCCTTAGCAGCTAACAGTACAGGTGAGCTCCACGCCCCATCTGCTGGCTCAATCACACCAATCTGGAGCATGTAAAGCACTTCCTCCTTCGCCACCTTCCATTTGTGAGGGGACAGATGATGCGTGTTGTTTGATTGGGACTGCCTCTCCCACATCCACATCATCAACAATCCTATCAGATATTCCAGGCACATCCTGAAATAGCTCAGAATAGCAGTCAACTACCTCCTGCCTCTGGAGCTGCTCTGGCCTCTGTGTTATATAGTCTGGCATTAACAACCTCAGACCCACATAGCAAGCAGGTCTGGCCCAGATTGGTGTCATGGCAGAGTGTATGTCAACCAGATGTGCGCCATGTCTGACAATGATGGCACTATTTATGTTCCTTTTTTCCTATTTTAGTTAGAAGACCCAAATGCCATGTTGCAATACTATACTGTTATGGCAGCCAACGTTTCAAATGCAGATTTGACAGGTTTGTGAGTGTACACTTTATCCAAAACCTAGTGAGGGTTTACTCATGTTTGCCAGTGAGTGGCTGTAGCTCAGGAGGTAGAGCAGGTCACCTACTGATTGGAAGCTTATTGGTTCGATCCCTGGCTCCAACAAGGTCCAACAAAGTCAACCATTATGTGAGCAAAAGGCTCATCCTCAACTGGAAAAAGTTGTAATGGTGTTACTGGGTTAGATACACTTGGCTCTTCGACAACCTGACAAACATGGCAGCGGCACCAAAATAATTTCATATCCTTCCACATACTAGGCCAATATAGGTGTTGGCTAAGTTTCTCCAAGGTTTTCTTTGCAGCCATGTGTCCAAACAATGACGCATGCACCAACTGCAAAACCTCCTGGCGACAACACTTTGGCAAAACGACTTGTTCTGTTGTGGCCCGGTCCTCATCAGCTGGCCTAGAAGGAGGCCTCCACTTCCTGAACAATGTGTCATTGTGAAAATAGTAACACTTTGGCACATCTTTAGCCTCCTGCACTTACTGCTGACCTCATAGCATGTTCCAGGGAAGGATTATTCTGCTGCTTCTGCACCAGAGACTCCCAATTCAGAGGGTCCTCCTCATGTTTTACTCACATGACCTGTTTATCTCTTCTGACAGCTGTGAAAAGCACCCATTCCTGGGTCATCACCTATACCACCACATGCTTTATTCCCATCAACAGATTGCACATCACAGCCATTCCAAGTGCTTAATAGGGAATCAGAGAGGTTAGTAAAAGGGTGGTTCACAGGGGGGCCACACATGCAGGAAAAACTTCAGGAAACTCCAGCTCTCTTGTCTTGGGGGAATCCACTGCGTAATCACTGACAGACAGAGCAACTTTAACCCAGGCCACATCACTGGCCATAATCAAATCGATAGATCTAAAGGAGAGATTTGTGACTCTGCTACATTACAAAGCCTGTAACCAGCTCAGATCTCAGGTAAAGCTTGTATACCTGCAGGATCTCATGACCCCTCCTACACCTCGCACAGTGGTGAACTGTGGGAGACAGTGGCCTCAGACATAAATCCATCATATCCCTGTAGTTCATTGAGAGACTCCCGAGCTATTGTTACAGACCTACCAGCCTGGTATTATTTTGCCTTCTTGGTAACCAGGGCACTGATTTTTCTTGTGACCTAATTTATGGCGCCAATAACAACGAGGCTCTGCAGGAGAATTCTGGCTCCTACTTTGGAATAGAGCTGATCCACTGGGCTGCTGTATCAAACTCTTTTCTTGTCCTGACGGGTGCCAGGTCCTGCTTCCACCCTGACCATATGGACCATCCTCACTCCTATCCTCATTAACTCTCCTCCTCCCCAGACTGACTCCCACCTTAAATCCATGGGCAACTTCATAACAATCGTCCAACTCTGTGGCCTCCGGGGGCTCACAACATCACATTCATTGAGATAAAAGTCAACCTCCCTGGGAGCACTCACTTTAAATTGCTCCAACAACATTAGGTCCTTTAACTTATGATGATGACCAAAAGCCTGAGATGAATTTATCCAACAATGCAAAGCAACTTCCTGTCTATGCCACATATCCAAATAAGACTCACTTGGTTGTCTCCCCAGCTCACGTCACTGCCTGCGGTAAGTTTACGGAACACCTACCATAAGAAGGCGTCATATTTCAAAAGTGGCATCTAGCGCTGCTACTGCTCTGAACCATCAAAGCCCACTTGTCTTCAGGCCACCCACTATCTATAGCAACTTTTTCAAACATCAACAGCATCTTCATCAAATGAAGGCATAAAAACACGAGCTCTATTCAGATCGAATCTATCATCACCTTGGCTTCCTTAGCTTTGTTCACCTCTCATTTACCTAATCTCTCCAGGCAAGTCCCTTCCCTCTTTTAACTCTTTCCCGCCTTTTGCTCCATTATTTGCTGTCACTTTTCTCCTCCACCAATTTTCTACGTTGCCTTTGCTCTAACCGCACTTCTGGCCGCAAAACCTCCATTAGGTGCAGCGCAATTGCAGGTTTAGCCAGACCTTCCTCCAGCGAAACCTCCTCTTCTCCTGCCAGATCGATCAATTCATCCTTCTTCAACCTCCTGAACTGCTCGCCTTGTCCACCTGTTCCTGATGTCCTCGTTTATAGCCACTATTTAAGGTAGCAACAGGCCCTCGGTCCTCGCTGGATCATTATATTTCAAACAGCTAGTGACGCCTGGCTCCTTTACCACTGTTTTTGCCACTTGCCTGTGAGAGAGAAACTTGCCCGGTTCCCTGTGTACAGATTGTATTGGAGAGACCCTTGCTAGAGAGCGATGAGCTATTGTGTTCTTGGGAAAACATCTTTGTGGAATTGAATTTTTTTTATCACTGTAAATAAAATCACTGAGCTGTAAAAGTGAGTCCTGCCTGCCCAGTGATCCTTGACGCCCAGGCTGCTTCCACCACAAATGGTTTAGTGTTAGGTCCCCACAGTGGCAATTCTACTGAGGTGGTTTTAACAGAAGTGGGGTTGGGTGAGAGTAGTTAAAATATGGTAAAACAAAATCTAGAATATGGAATGTCAGAATGAGATTTAATCATAGAAACCTAGACTATAAATCAAATTAAATAAAAACGTAACCTTTGTATTTGTTGGCTGCTGTGGAGTTGCTGATGTTCCATCCATCAGCCCCTTTACTATGCAGGGAGCCGATGATTTGTTGAGATAGCTGAGAGGAGGGAACTGAGCTGGGCAGCTGGCTCTGAACGTTCAGATGCTGATGATGGGATGGGTAATGGAGAGTCAGATTGTAAGTGGGGCTGCAGGACACCTGAACTCCTTCAGGTCTCAGGTTGGTTCTCGTCTCCCTGCAAGGGGTCATTGGGTACAGGGATCTGTCTTTCAACATCCCCTTTTGTGACGAGCAGTATGAGAGGTCCGGCTGGAAGAGGCGAGGAGCCTTCTGATGTTCATAAAAAATACAGGGAAGGTTATTATCTTAGGATAACACTTTATTTCAGTATTTATCAAAGTAGCTCTGTAAGACAATAAAATATTTGATTATCTTTTTCCTACTAGATCCCTTGTAAGTCAAAAATGGTTTGAATTGGTCTTTGTTCGCTGTAATCATCAGGATCAAAGCTCTTCTGAGTAAAATTCAGCAGAAGCTTAAATGACATCTCAACTTATTCACTGTCGGTGGGTAAAACATGCTGTGTTAGTTCAGAAAGTATTCAGCACTTCATGTGCTTCAGTGTTTGTCATATTCTAAAACTGAATCCTTATTCTAAAATTTTATTTTTCATCTCGAGATTCTACACACAATACCCCATAATGACAACGTTAAAGAAATTGCTTCAAAGTCTTGCAAATTTAGTAAAATTAAAGAACAAATGACTCAGGTGACTGTGTTATTATTATGCTGTTAGATTTAACTGCTGCTTTTGATACAGTGGATCATAATATTTTAATTTCCCGTTTAGAGCAGTTGGTGGGTATGCGGAGTACCGCACTGCAGTGGCTCAGATCCTATTTGGCAGAGCGAACTTTCTCTGTGAAACTCGGGGAGTTTGTATCCTCTGCTGCTTCTCTTCAATGTGGGGTCCCACAGGGTTCAGTTTTAGGCCCGCTTCTTTTCTCTCTATATCTCCGACCCCTTGGGTCTATTTTCAGGAAACATGGGATTTCTTTCCACTGCTACGCCGATGACTCCCAGATTTATTTCCCACTTAAAAGATTAAATGGCTTCTCAGTAGACCCGCTGCTCAGATGCCTTGATGAAATAAGGGCCTGGATGGCTTTGAACTTTTTACATTTTAATGAACAGAAAACAGAAGTGATGGTTTTTGGTGGCGTTTCTGAGGCCACTATTATAGATCTTGGTTCACTGGCACGGTATGTTAAACCAGTCATCACTAATCTGGGAGTTAAAATAGAGGCAAATCTTAAACTTGAAAGCCAGGTCAGAGCTGTTGCAAGATCTAGCTTTTTTCATTTGAGGGCATTAGCCAAAATAAAGCCTATCTTATCGAAACAGCATTTTGAGACAGTAATCCATGCCTTTGTTACTTCTAGGCTGGATTATTGTAACGCACTTTATTTTGGGGTTAGTGATGCGTCCATTAGGCGCCTGCAGGTTGTGCAAAATGCTGCAGCACGTCTTTTAACTGGAACAAAAAAGTTTGAGCACATTACCCCGATTTTAATTTCACTCCACTGGGTACCTGTACATTTTAGGATTGTTTTTAAAATTCTCTTATTTGCTTTTAAATCTCTTAATGGCCTGGCCCCCCCCCTACCTCTCGGAGCTACTACAACCATATACACCTGCCCGTTCCCTTAGGTCCGCCAATCAGCAGCTCCTTAAGGTACCGAAAACTAAGTATAAATCTAAAGGTGATCGTGCTTTTGCTGTAGTTGCTCCAAAGTTGTGGAATGATCTACCCTTGCATGTTAGGCAGGCCTCTTCTCTCTCTGAATTTAAAAGTCTTCTTAAAACATATTTATTCGCTGAAGCCTTTGGCATTGATTAGAGGGGTTGACTCAATCTGTTTTAACATGTTTCAATTTATTTTAGTTTTTTAGTTATTTATTTTATCTTATCTCATTTTAATTTTCTTTACTTATACTATTAGCATGTACAGCACTTTGTGAACTCTGGTTTTATGTTAAAGTGCTTTATAAATAAAGGTGGTATGGTATGGTAACAAAAACATAACACGTACATTATGTACCTGTTGTACATCTTGTTTCCACTGTTCATCTATCAAATGTTTCTACAACTTGATCAGAGTCTACTTGTGGTAAATTCAGTTGATTGGACATTACATGTAATTGGATTGGAAAGTACACGTAACACATTTGAATCGTTGGGATACAGATTTGAATATTTTCATGGGTACTGGACCACTGAACTTGCATTTCTTCACAACCTTAAAATCTCAACATGAATAATCACTTACATATATAATACAAAAAACCAATTACATCAACAAAATAATAAACAGAATACACCCCCAGCGGATGTGACTCAGCCCACATCTCAAAGTTGTGTGAGTCCAGCAATAAAATCTCTTCTTGTAGAATGTGCAAAGGAGCAGTGAAGTGCTACTCTGTCCTGAGACTTAAGTAGAATTTGTAAAGTTCATGGCTTGTCCAAAGAATTTCAGTTTCTTCTCAGATCAATCATCTCAACAAATCCTGGAGGGGTGGCTCGCCATCTTTGGACTGGTACACCCAAAAAACCTGAGAAAAGTAAACAACAAAACGGGTTCTCCTGAACCCTCAAATAGGCGAGGGTGCGGCGTCATAGCACAACCAGAAGAATCCCAGCAATAATAAAACTCTCCTCCAACTAAACAACAGTTGCCTGGCAGCTTGTTTCCTCAGCAAAATCCGACTAAAGAGGCAACAACGTTTCTCACTCAGAGGACCTGACTTTTTTTCTCCCCCCTCTTCTTGATCTCCGTAGCTGCTTCAGGTAAAATGCAAGGAGGCAGTACTCCCAAACTGTGTACTTTACAGACCATTGGGACATCATAAACACCAGCTCTTCAGTTATTTAAAAAATAATTTTACTTAATTAAACTTCCATCCATCCATCCATCTTCATCTGCTTTGTCTGGGGCCGGGTCGCGGGGGCAGCAGCCTAAGCAAAGAGGCCCAGACCTCCCTCTCCCCAGCCACCTCCTCCAGCTTGT